ACGAGGATGTTTAGCTCTCTCATTTAGCCACTTGTTAGCAACAAGCTAGCTTCAAGGCTTCAAATTTCACGAGTGCACTATTTACTGATGTATTTTTAACCCTAACCCTCGTCGTGGTCGACCAAAAGACTGGTCACCACAACTGGACTACACTCTCTCCTCTTGCACAGGGCATGATGGTGCTTGTTTAGTCATCATTGGTTGAACACACCTTTTCACGTGCATTGTTGGATACTTTGTCCACTATATACGGTATGATAACTCTCACTATATATTCGGACAGCACTACAAAATGGCGAACTCCTTGTATAGTAGACTGTAAGGCAGAAGTGAGCGATTTGGGACACAGCCTGTCAATATCATGTTACGCTCAGCAAGACAGGAAATGAGTGTATTTCCCTAACTGTGAAAATACTCCTTTATGGGGAAAAGTGGAACAAGAAAGAATAAAAGGAGAAGAAAATATTGATCTCAGATAACGGATATATCCATGATGATAAAACTGAAATTAAATCAGGTATACTTCAGTCAGCAACATGAATCAAATGGAAGCATGAGTGTTGAGTCTGATCTTTTCTTTGCAGAGGAATCAACATGATGAGGAAGAGATGTCAGTGAATATGAGCATCATCAAAACACACTGTTCTATTTTTAGAGCTTTGCTGGAAGCACTTTTCCTTTAGTTGAGGGGAAAAATCTGTAATGGATGTCCCAGCCTGTCAATCTGAGTTTGTATAAAACTCTCCCTGCCCTGTGCGGACACACACACACACACACACACACACACACACACGTGCATATGTCTGCTCTGTACCAGCTGTGCCCTTCTGTGTTTTTTGGGAGGGCTGGAGGGGGCGGGGTTGGTGCAGAGCCAAGCTGCTCATTGTTACATCATTACCTCCACAACACAAACAACAGTGAAACTAATGTGACATCGGCTGCCTTCATGAGTCTCAGAGCTCGTAATAATTTAGTAGTGTATTTCCATATTTAGCTAAAGTGCACCACAGATACATCACCCATTTAGACCGTGCACATACAGCGTAATTACAGGGAGCACTACATCAGATAATGCCTTTTATTTCCACACAGATGAAGCAGGCGACAGAGACTTCTCATTTATTTATTTTTTTAAAGATATTTTTTGGGCATTTTTAAGCCTTCAATCGATAGGACAGTCTTGTGTGAAGGAGGCAGAGAGAGAGGGAGTGACATGCAGCAAAGGGCCGCTGCGGCACCAGCCTTGTACATGGGGCGCCTGCGCTACCACTAAGCCACCAACGCCCTACAGAGACTATTTTGAAATGAAAGCAATATCTAATGTTTAGACTTTATTTTTACATCTTCAACTTGTTCTTTAGCCCAACACCATTTATCACTGGGATGTGCATGCCTCTGTCATTTTTTTCTTCTTCACATTTTTCATAAATTGAACTGAAAATCGAGCATACCAAAAGTTATTACATGAAATAATCTAGCTCCCTTTTCTATTCTGGTTTGTCTGATTTTTGTCAGAAATTCTATCTGAATAAAAAAACATCATATTACCTGCCCTTTTAAATAAAAATCAGCAGGGAAGCTGGCATGTGAAGGAGTTCACTTAAAGCCCAACTTGCAGGTTGGAGACCATGGTGAATAAATGTGTAGGAAAATAATGTAGAAACTCGATTAAAACAAAAAACATAAACATAAACACACTACAGTGACTTTTGGGGTCGTTTTTGTGAGAGAATTTTGCTTCCGCATCTAAAAACCCACTAACTGGAAGTGACGTAGCGTAAGGGAGTCCGGCCGAGTTTGATTGAGTGTAACATTAATAAACATGGATCCCAGTACTAGTTTTGAGACTGAAGAGGTTGAAAATGTACATTCATATGCATATGACGGCCCACAGGCTTATAATTATGAGCCTGCTAGGCGTCCAAGAGACCAGGAACAGATCAGGGTTAGGAGAAATAATGGCCACAGGAGAGAAATAGAGCTGTGGTGTGAGGAGAACCAGTGGAGAACTGGGCAGGTGTCTTGGTGAGCGACCAGTGTTAGCTAACGACAGCAACGTTAAGTTTGCCATCATGTATTAGGTTATAACAAAGCTACCAACAGTTTTGCCACTATTAGATAACTAATGCTACTTACCCAGAACACAAACTAATGCGCAAATATCAGCTTGTATCAGACGTATCTTGCTATGCGTGTTATAACTCCGCATTATGGTGTATTGACGTCCGCAGGGGAGAGAGAGAGAGAGATATGAAGATTTCCTGATAATTTTTTGTATGATAGGTGCTTGTGTGTGAACTGCCAGCCCATGTCCTCAGCTGTGGAGAGTATGTGCTGCAGGGAGGTGGATGCCTTCTGGGCTCTGGTGGAGAATCTGACCCCCAGACCAGACATAACATGCCTCACACTGCCCATCAACCCTCACGCCGCCCGCTCCCTTCTTAAACACAGAGGCCTCCCTCCCTTCGCGGGCTCCGCCAGGAACATAATCCTCCTGTCCAAAATTAGCGCTGCACACGACTGCGTTTTTGGTCACAGGTGAAGCTGTGAAATTGCGCCTGTTCACCTGCACAAAACTCACCCAGGCATGAAAACTAACTCCACTCCTTTTTCTGTCCGGAAAACGGTGGACTCTATGTCCTGACAGACTCGAGTTTGTGCAACCTGCACAAACACAATAATTTGGCATAATCACAAATGGTGAAATGCACTGGTAACAATTGAAAAAATACGAACTCACAAGTTTATTACCGCTCAGACTCACTACCACCTACTGCTGCACACTGGACAGAGGTAGGGTCAAGGACACAGAGTCCCTCTCGTGACGTAGTATCAGGCGATGTTTGGGGGAAAAAAAGCGTTTTTAGAAGAGGAGCTAAAAAGAGCCACTTTTTCCTCTGAATTTGTGCCCTTATGTCGTGTAAACCATAATAAAAATTTAACCTGCAAGTTGGACTTTAAGGTAAAAAAAACACGGTGATATTGGCTTAAAAGAGCTGATTTAACAGGACCTATTCTGTGTTTCCTTATTTTCTGCCACATATATGATGTAACAATGTCGGATGTTCATATTAAACATGGCTAAAGTTTCAAATAGTGAGGTAAAGGTGATCCCTGTGAGCAAAAACCTGACGTCAGCCTGTGACAGATTTCTTCACATGGTCGTCTTCTCCAGGCACACTTTACATTACATACACTGCTACATGTAGCTACATGCTAACATCAGGGAAACATGTAAGCTTTGTTGCAGATTAATTTTTTCCTAAATTTCAGAGCATATTCCTGCTGGAACATGTCGATTTTGGTTTTGAAGCTTTTACTGGTGTTTTATCACAGAAAAAAGCGCCACTACACTCCGTTACAGTCATTCCCTGGCTGCAAGTATACACTCCATGTACACACTACATGCTAACGTCAGGGAAACCTTTAGCCTTTGATATGGATCATTCTCCAGCTGGAACATGTCCGGTTGTGTTTAATAACCTTTATTGGTGACTTTCACTGGTGCAAAGTGACACTATACTCCATTACAGTCATTTCCAAGCTGTACTGCTTCTGTGGCTACATGCTAGCATCAGGGAAACATGTAATCTTTGTTGTGGATGTTGTTAATGTCTCCAAAACTTAAGTTCATATTCCTGCTGGAACATGTCTGGTTGTCAAGATTTTGGTCTAGAAGCATTTATTGGTAATTTTTCACAATAAAAAGCGCATTTTTCCCCGTTATAGTCATTCCCGACTGCAAGTACACTGCTACGTTTACCCGCATGCTAACATCAGGGAAACATAGAATTGTAGTTGCTGATGTTGTTGATTTTTCCCGATTTCAGATCATATTCCTGCTGGAACAACAATTTCTCCTCAATATGAGATTTTCCTGTTGGAATATGTCAAATTGTAAAGATTTGGGATAATTACCTTTTATTGGTTAATTTTTCCGTGATAGACAGTGCTGCTATTCTCTGTTACAGTCCTTCCCCGCCTGTAGGTGCGCTGCTCCACGTAGCTACATGCTAAGTCTTGTTCGAAGATGTTATTAACTTTCCTCCAAGATTTCAGATCATATTCCTGCCGGAACATGTCTGGTTGCGAAGGTTTTGGTCTAGAAGCTTTTAAAGGTTATTTTTCATGGTCAAAAGTTATTTTCCATTATTTTCTGGCTGCAAGTACACTGCTACATCTAGCTACATGCTAACATCTTGGTAGGCAAATTTTGGATTGTGTGGTTGCTGGAAAATTGCTTTTATAGGGGATTTTTCCCCCTGTACAAAGTGCCAATATACTCTGTTGCAATAATTTACCTGCTGTTCTGCTACATGTAGCTACATGCTAATGTCAGGGAGACATGTAATCTTAGTTGCAGATATTGTTAATTTCTCACAAATTTTGGATCATATTCCTGCTGGAACATGTCTGGTTGGTTTAGAAGCTTTTATTTGGGATATTTCATAGCAAAAAGTGGCGCTACATTCTGTTACTGTCATTACCCAGCTTTAAGTACACTGCTACATGTAGCTACATGCTAGCATCAGGGAAACCTGTTATCTTGGTTGCTGATTTGAGAAATTTCTTGCCTATTTTGAAATAATTTTCCTGCTAGAACATGTCCCGTTGTTTTAGTAGCTTTTATGGTGATTTTTTACGGTAGAAAGTGCCACCATACTCTGTTACAGTCATGCCCCAGCTGTACTGCTACATGTAGCTGCATGCTAACATCAGGGAAATGTGTTCTCCCAGATTTTGGATCATTTTCTTCCCAGAATATGTCATGTTGTAAAGCTTTTATTTGTGCTTTTTCATGGTTGAAAGTGTTCCTATACTCTGTTAAAGTCAACCCCAGGTGCAACGATGGTGCAGGGACGCAGAGATATGGAAGACCTGACCATTAAAGTATGTGAAAGTGTTCTAGTAGAAAAAACCCTAAATACACTAATGAACCTGAAAAAGAGCATATTCAGGATGATAATCTCATGCAGCTGGACAAAGACAAAGTAGGCAAGTTGATATCAAATAATTTTATAATGTTGAAAATGAATGTCACATAGCCACAAACACGAACAGCTTTGAGCCATTGAGATGCCATTCTCTGATTGTGCCATGAATGATTTGTCACAGAAAACAAGACAAACAACAACCGTGCCCATTACAAACCCACGACCAGCATTATAAAATACACCATCAAACTCTCGTCCGGGGTGCTTCAACCTCATTCAGCTTTACATTCAACACTGTGCTGTGCCAAAAAATTATGGCTGCTTTGCAAACGGGAAAAAGCCTACTGCGTGCAGAGGGCCTCACATCATGTCGTTCAGATACGCTGATTCGGGCTGCAGGGTTGTGTGCTACTGCATAAAGTCACTGTGAAGGGGAGCTGCAGGGAGCAAGGAACCAAAAACAAGAGAGGACATTTTCATCATGGGATTAGCAGTTTGGGACGTGGGGTCCTAAACTTTTCTTGTTGAAGGCACAATTACTTGGCCTGTATTAAAGTACACATGTGTAATTGCATATTTGCACTTGAGATCTGAAGGCCTGAAGAAGAGAACATCTCTCTTCGAAGCTTTCCTCGGGGGCAGGAGCACCATTTTTGATTTCTTTGCCATTGCTGATGACGTTTAAAACTGTAATCTGGATTTAAATGTTTCACTTGGCCAAACTACTCAATGCACCCCAACTCTTGTCCTGATGATGCATCAGTCCTCTCTTGGTTTGTCGGGGCAGAACACACGTAGAGATGGAATATATATCTGCCAGCTGATGATAAACACTCAAAGCATGGCTTCATATTTCATGCTATCAATTTCTTATAGACATAACAAAGTGCAGTAATTTTCAAACATGTTTTTATCTAGAGCCACAACATTGTTACAATGATGTATCTTACAACCTGAACAGATCCTGTAAGCATTTTTAGCAGATCCACTCACCCTCTACAACACATTTTGAGTGTTTTCTTTTTTCACACGAGCTTACATTTCGGGAGCTAAACTGTCCCGACAAAAACTATTAAAGCCGCCAATTTTTATTCAAAAAAATTTGGGGCCACATTTTAATCTTCCTGAGACCACTGCTGGGTCCTGTACCATATTTTGCCAACCACTGTTGATTCTCCTTGCTTGAGACTGATCACTCCATCTCCTTTACTCTGGCACAAAGCAGTACAATGAGGTATGAACAGTTGTATAAATCTCGATTTTTTTTTTTTTTTGGTTTCTATTTTGTGATATTTTTTGTTTCTTTCCTCTTTGTATGGTGAGACTGTTTTTACCATGAAAAGCAATATTCTTGTTACGACATCAAGATTAATATACGGCAGATTCATACATCGCAAGATTTTGAGCAATCTAAAGGCTAAGAACAGGACATTGGTGATATTTTTTATTATTTTTATTGACCCAGATCAGGAGTACGAGCAAACGCCCAAATTAACAAGTGATACAGCCCAAGCAACTGTGGAAAGCAGGATTCAGGTTCATTCACTTTCAGTTCAACTAATTGGACGATGAATTTGGCAAAACCTTAGTTTACAATAAACTTATTAAACATTTCCCCCAAAGTACCCTATTAATTGTACTGGAAGTAGAAACAATACTATATGCATCCATAATGAGCTGTAAGGGACTGTCTGAAAATTATCAGGGAAGGAGGGTCATGTCATTTTTATTTTTGCTAAAAAGAACACCAATAATTTACATACAGTCCCCCAGGAAAATGACTGATTAAAGTATTTAGTGACACTGTACTCAAAATGTGTTGTCTTGTGAGGTAAGCAAGACATGAAATATAATGTTTAACCTCATGCCAATAACTTTTGTACAGTCCCTAAGAAAAACAAATATATTGTAAAAATATTAGGTGAAACTGTACTTCAGATCTATTGACCTGTGAGGTTAGCTGAGGTTTATGTTTTTTAGAGGAAATAAACCCCATTTTATGGGATTTTGGCCCATTGGTGCACAACATGAGAGCGGGAACAGAGACAGGTGTTAAAGCTAAGCAATGTGAATGCTAAAGGTTTGGGAAACAATACGTCAACTGCTTGTTAGTTGTGTGCAGAAAACGTTGCTGTAGAAATGCTAATAACTCAAGTGTGGGAGCGTTTATGAGAAAACACAGTTTCAGTTCCTAATTAAGTTACAACTAATCATTAGGCCAAAACCAAGAGGCCCTGAGCCTAGACTTGACCGTAATCTCTACTTGACAGTGAGAGTAATTTGTTCGGTTTACAAGTGGCCAGAATCTCCCAGCAGCTAGCTAGTTAGCTGTTAGCTTCAGCTCCTCTAATGGCAGATAGATGCCAGACTTGAGAAAATTCTTTTTTCTTGGAGAAAAAGTTTGATAAGGTAGCGGTAGTGAAAGCTAACAAAAAAGGCGGGAAAACTCAAATGTAGGCTTCAAAACTTGAGGATTTGTTTTAGGTAGTTTCTGAAGTAAAAACCACTGCTATGTTTATGTCACTAAATTGTTATACTTTGAATAACGCAAGTCACCTCAAATTACATAGCAATAAATTATCTTTTAGACACCATCAGCTAGTAAGTGCTTGTTAAATTGTGCGTAGAAAGCTTGGTTGTAGAAATGCTAATTACTCAAATGTGGAAGCATTTATGAGAACAAATGATTTGTGATAGTATGAATAATTTGTTCTGTTTACAAGTTGCCAACATATCCCAGCACCTAGCTAGTTAGCTGTTAGCTATGAACCCTGGTAGAAGATAGATTTAAGAAAATTCTTGTTTATCAGAGAAACAGTAAAAAAAAACAAAACATTATTATTAAGAAAAACTATCATTATAGTTAAATTTTGGCTCCTTTAAGACAATTTTAGGACCCAGAAGGAGTTTCCAGTGTATTGGCCTCTCACAGGAAGTGTTGGCGGAAGCAAAAACGGCGGGAAAACTGAAATGTAGGCTTCAAAACTGTTTGAAGCCTACATTTCTGTTTTAGGTAATTTCTGAAAAATCTACACTATAAATTGAAACTAATGCCATGTTTATGTCACTAAAAGGTTATACTTTAAATGACACAAGTCACAAGTCATAAGTTGCCAAGATATCCAAGCAGCTAGCTAGTTAGCTGTTAGCTACGGCTCCTCTGATGGCAGACAGAAGTTAGATTTGAAAAAATTCTTGTTTGTTTGAGAAAAAAGTATACGTTTTTAATAATTAATTATAATAATTAATAATAATTTTATGACCCAAAAGAAAGTATTAGCCTGCAACAGGTTGCAGTAATGGAAGCTATCAAAAAAGGCGGGAAAACTCAAATACAGACTTTAAAACTTGATTTTTTTGTTGTTGATAATTTATGAAAAATCCACAGTATGAATGCAAACTGCTGCCACATTTGTGACACTAAAAGATTAAACTTTGATTAATGCAAGATACCTCAAATTACACACTGAAGTGCTAGCATACACACCGCAGAGCTAGCTCTGGAGCCAGTTAACGAGATGCCGTGTGACCAATGGGCCTATTCCTTATAAATAATTTCATGGTGTTATTATGAATGTGTAGCACATCTGGTTGCAGATCATAACACCAGGATAAGGCAACTAAATAGTTTAAATGCTAAATCTGATTACATATCCCAAAAATTGAACAGCAGGCTGTATCACAGATCTATGCAGACTCATTTTTCAGCTAAACTGAAGGTGATTTGAACCCTGGCCCTTGGGTGACATTTGAGCACTAGCTACCACTGCACCAACGATGGTCTGAAAGTGCATATACAGCCATTTTTATCACAGTAAAGCATCAACACAGATAGACGGACATTCACTTACCAAGATAAATCAGATGCAAATTAATAACGGCATTAAAGAATAATCAGAGAGAAAAAAACATCTTTTTTTCTCTATTTTCAAAACAAAGTCACTTCATCTGTCCTCACACCACAAGTCTTTTATAAACATACTATATTAAAGTAAAAGGACTTATCAGTAGCAGTCTGTCACACGATCAAGGTTTCAACCCCGCTGGCAAACTCATCCACTCTAGAATAAGCAGAGCAACGAACACTTGGTGCACAACGAAAGCAACATCAACAACATCAAAATCAACATGAGTGTGGAACTTCACACCGTGTCTTTAATCATACAATTTCAGTATTTTACATTCCACATGTGGACATATTCCTGCAGGGATTGTCGACTATCTCCACCAAAGAGTGCTAGTATGAGTTGGGGTAGGTTTCTGTGAGTGTTTGTGGGGAGGGAGGAGGGAGGTGCATACCAAGAGGACAGAGTGAAATAAATAGGGGACAGGGTCGTAAATCGGGGCGAGGATTGAAAATAACAGGAAGGAGAATGGGAACGTCGGGGAAGGGACGGAATGGAGGTGTAAGGACGGGAAAAGATGCGAGGAAGAGAGAGAGAGGATGCTGTTGACTTAAAGATGTTTCCCTGGGTAAGTAATAAAAGTAGTAGAAGTATTTCTGGAAAAGGAGTTGCATGAGTTTTGAACTGCTTCAGAGTGGTTGTTATAGTTTTGTGCTATGCTGCAGCAGCACAGCTTCAGAGCATCAAGTTCACATTTTAGTTTATTGTAAACGCAACATAAAACTTAACCCCTAAGTTTAATCTAAGAGACAGTTAGAGAGAGAGAGAGAGAGAAAGAGAAAACACAATTCTGTGGTCACTGTGCAGAAAAGACGGAGACTTTTGCAGCTCAGGTAGGGGGTGGAAAGTGATACAGGGTGTGCAGGCAACTTTTGAGGCAACTCTGATGGGCCTCAACCATCGATGTGTTAAGAGACCTGGATACCATGTACGAGGCGGGGCCTTGTTCATTCCTACAAAATTTGCTAAGTGGCGCATGAAGCCAAAAAAGCTCTTTTTCCGTGATTGGAAATTACGCAGATGATGAGCGCTGCTTCCGTATCATTGGGCCCAGAGAGCAGGCGCGTTACAGCTGGCTACTTCCAGCTCATGAGTCAGCTAACTTCATTTATTCATTTCCATACGTGCTTATCCTAGACTACTGGAGTTCACCAGCCTGTCGCTCATGCAGCATTTGAAGGAAACTGCAGGCATGGCTGTTCTCAGCTTTGAATGTTCGAAAGTCCACCATTGACATTTTTGTCACATCTATTTCATTCATTAATTTCCTGTAACCACTTCGCGGAGGGACTGGAGCCTGACACATTCACACCTACAACCAATTTAAAGTCACCAATCAACCTGCATGTCTTTGGACTGTTGGAGGAAACCGGAGCACCTGGAGGAAACCCACGCTGACACGAGAAAACATGCAAACTTCACAGAGAAGGGCTCCCCCACGCCAGGTTGCTAACCGGGAACCCTCTTGCTGTGAGTCTTTTTGGGCCCAACGGCATCACGTGACGGAGCCGGGGAGTTGCAGTACAACTGTTTGGCCACTACTAAAAGTTGCTTCAATGCTGGGCTCACTTCCTGCGGCTGTTATAGATGGGAGGCATTTCCATCCAGCTTTGCCTGCAAAATTGCCTCATGTACCACCACGAGGCCGTGTTCAAACACAGAGCAAATCCTTTTTTTTATGTCGGCTTTAGATATTCTTCATAGGAGTAGAAGAATGGCTTCTCTCATGAATGCACGGAGGGTTATGAAGCTGTAAAAGTTAGAAGGAGCTCTCCGTGTCAAAGGTTTGTCGAAGCATCTCGAGTTGTCGGTCATGCGGAAAACGTATTGCCAGGTTGCAAATTAATACGCTGTCCCAAATTCAATCGAGTCAGTTAAAACACCATGAAGAGATCGGATTAAAAGCACTGATTGGATTTGTCTGCTGTCTGAACATAGCAGTATCATAGCGAGCAGTGATCTCCAGGTAAAAATGGCTTTTTGGTGAGGAGGATGGTGACTGACTACTGGTCTGTCTCTCTGCTATGCTGGTGCAACTGATCATGGCTGAAGGCAGTGTGCTCTGTGGTGCTGGTGTGGTTGTCTTAAGAGGACGGGGCGGGGAGGATTTCTCCAGTGATCATTTGGCTGAAAGATAGAAAGAGAGAGAGAGAGAGAGAGAGAGAGAGAGAGAGAGAGAGAGAGAGACAGACAGACAGACGGAGCAGCTGTGCTGCCAGCTCAAATCTTAGATCTCAGTTCATGGAGCTCTGTGGACCTGATCTCATGTTTGTTCTCCTGGAACAGGGAAAAGTGAGCGATGTGTTTCTGCTTAAGGTACTTCTTGTGCTATATGAAGTGACTCAGAGGTATGCAAAAGGTGGGTAAACTTTGAAGGTTAGTTGGTGGTCTCCACAAGGCAAACAAGCATCATAATGCAATATGACGTCAACTGCAAACAATGCATAAATATTATTGTACAGATATTAATACAGCTGGGTAAACTGACACCTTCTGCTACATGACTGGTCAGACGGATGACGGATCTGATTTGAGCTGGCAGCGTAAACTCAGCCGCTGATAGCTCTAATGCCACAAACGATAAATGCAACATTTATATATATCTCTATGTCTATAAATATATGCTTCTGTATACTGTATAATGTATATTTGTATTACCGACCTCAGGGAGGCACATTAACATGTCAGGATTACTAAGCCAGCGGTTCCCTGTCTGAGCCATGACCCGGTTGCAGCATGGCTTTCATTCACAGTGATAGTGAGCAAAGTACGGTACGAAACACAGCAGGCCTGGAGGTGGCGGGCGTGAAACTGTACTGCTTGATCATCCTATTGCTGTGTGTGTATGCGTGTGTATGCTGCTGCTGCGAGTGTGTGTGTATCCCTGTATAATCAGCGCTTATGGTTCTATTTTAATACCCTGCAACGTAGAGCAGTAACACTGAGAGCGGCGGCGCCTGAAGGCCATGTCACAGTCCTTCTTGGTTTCAACAGAGATGAGATAACAGAGAGTGTGTGTTCTTGTGTTTAGAGAGTATTGTTAAGACAGGTGGGAACAGGAAAGATGTGGGGGGCGGGGTTAAAGAAGGGGTTCAGGGCTACTAAGGGATACAGACATTGTGGTTTTAGTGCAACAGAAAAAAACCTGATCGTTACTTGTAGTGGATGGCATTTGGGATATGGTTGGTGGAGCTTATTTCAGCAGTGTTTAATTCATATTGTAAGTTTCTGGGATAGGACAGTCGCTCAGAAAGTCTCTGCGTCCATTTCTGCTGCGACGGCGAAGGAAGGATCTGGAGATGGACTGAATGTGCGAGAACAAGGGTCTGTTTTTTTTTCGTGTGGCGGTTTGCTGTTGGCTTGGCCTGAGTCACAACGCTGCGCACCACAGTCGCTCACTCGCCGTTTCCCTCCCCTCTGCCGGGATGAAACCATATCCACAGGCGAATACTGCTGCTGACTCACTTGCTGTTTGTGTATCTCCCAGTCACCACCCACAGTAGTCCGTTGGCCTGACCCATCGGGCCAAAATGGCTTCCACTGGAGTCCCAGCTTCCAGCTGTCGTTGTCCCACGACAGTTTCCTTTAATCGGCACGCTGTGACGTCACAAATTCACCCCTGCCCTCGTTGTCATTTCAGGTTCCTGAATAAAACCAGAATCCAAAGTGACTGTTGGTCCCTCGTGGTGTGTGATCAGGATGAAAAATAGGAGGAAGTCTGTGTGTCAGCTGTCAGATGTTGATCCCATTTTAAAGACCTGCTGCTGGCGGAGTCAACGGGTCCATGTTGGCAACTCGTGTGTGTACATATATATAAATATCTATATTTATATATGTGTGCATGTCGGTGTGTTGCAGACAGACGGGCAGCTGCACTGACATGAGAGGTGAGGTAGAATCTGTCGGTTACAGGCGGGACTTGAAACAGGTACGGGTGACGGGGGGAGGCCTGCAGAGATTAGTGATGGCATCCTCTCCCGCCGCCGCCACCATCGCCCTGAACCTGGTAGGGAGGTGAGGAGGCGGGGCTACGGTGTGATTAAGAGGGCTCCGATGAGAGGACGCAGTCACATACGCACACAGAGAGACAGGAAGTGAGGTGCAGCCCAGTGGTTATTTTGGAGGAGGGAGAGATGAGCAACAAAACAACTGAGGTAATACGTCAAAAAACAACTGGGTGTAATATGTGTGAGGTAATGAAGACAGGAGGTATGTATCGGAGAGGTATCCTAGCAATATATTTATATATATATATATATTATATATGTATATATACACACACAGCATACTGATACACTGTGTGTGAGTACTATAGATTATCTGTCAGTGTTAATGAGTAACAGGATGCAGTATTTCAAGTCATGTATTGTCATTTGTTATGAAGTAAGTTTGTATTTGTTACACTGTAAAATAAAAGCAGTGGAAACACTTCGTATGAAGCCTGTAGCTGTAATTCACTTTATTATCTGAGCTCTGGTCTCGACCCTTTTTGCATGAAAAGGCGAAATGTGTTATTAATCTGCTGTTAATAGGAAAATATTAATCATGGCAGCTAGTAGTGTTTGCTTTGTTAGCATGTTAGCATGATAGCGTTGAAGACATTCAAAATAGTACTGCAGAAAGTGAAATTCTGACATGATGAAAGAGATTACAATTCATCCTCCGAGGATGTGCTTAATTTAGCACAAAGACTGGCAGCAGGGGGAAACAACGAACCTGCAAACCCACAATTTGTAGTCCACATTTTGAACAGAGCGAGAGCTGGAGCACCATGGTGCAAAATACGCAAATTAAGCGAGTAGTGCGGTTTCCCGTCATACGCTTAGTTGTGAGAGTTGAACAATTGGAATTTCAGCAACCAGTTTGCACCACGATAGCCAATGAATATTGAAGCTGAGGACACACCAGTGGAAGTTAATTTATCGATTCTGCAATTTTAAGTGCGTATGATGCGAGTTATTTGCACGTATGTAGCAAGTCAACACAAAATATTCTAGTGTGAACTTGCGTGACTAACGTGAAATGAAAATTTGCATTGTGTTTGGTGTGAAGACATTAGCTCGTGCTAACCAGGCAAACACTAAACTGATTGTTTGCCAGGAAGGGAGCGGCTCCAGAGACGGACATTCACCGCTGTGTATAACCTGTGTAACGGCAGCAACAGAAAGTTTGCTGATTTGGCGGGGAGTCAAAAATTGAAAACCAAACACCTACCCAAATAACAAATATCTGCCTGCTGCTTCACTTTTGATTTGCAGTGGACACCAGAGAAATAGACACAACAAGGCCCGAGGAGAGAGCCTATGGTTTTGTCTGACACTTTTTCTGATCACTGAGAAAATGCTGTTTTGACATATAGTCAAAAAATAAAAGTAACTTTGCAAGTAGTGAGTTACTTTTGCCGTTTTCTCGTAGCTTAGCTTGCTACATGCTACAGAATCCATCACGCAGGTGTTTTTGTGTGTTTTGTGACTCATTGTAGGTAAGAGCTTCATACAAAGTGTTCCCACTGTTACTTCTCCTAACACCAGAGACTGAAGACTGCATGGCTTTCTCAACAGACTACCAATAAATGTGGAAATACATTTCAAGACATGAGGTAAGAGTGTCGGGGTGTGTTTTGTGCCTCTGTGTGGACGTGAGAGACGGAGAGGTCAGTACGTGGGGGAGGTAGGTTGACAAACACTCATGGGGCCTCGGTGGGCTGCGGGCTGGGCTGCACGGGCAGACGGAGGACGCCATGTGTGGGAGATGGCGGGGGTGGGGGGCCGTCTGAGGAGCTAGTGGTCAGGTCCCAGAGATAAAAACAAAACGACACTTTGTTGAGGTGGGTGCTGGAGGGAGTTTGCAGTAGTGTAGAGTACAGCTGTTTGTCCATACAGGTGCAACTGGAGTTAACAGGTGAGGTTTGTGTTTGCATATGTTTGCACTGTACGCTCATGGCAGTGTGTCTGGATCTGTGTGAATACCTGTGACTCTTTATATAGCTCTGTGTGTGTGTACCTCTCAGACTGACAGTGTGTTTCTCTCTGGTGAAGTCGGTGTGTGTTTGCTGGTGGCAGGTGGTGGGTCTTGAGAAAAAACGGGACAAAAAACAAAGTTTACAGGGCACGTTCCCACTGAAGAAAAAAAAAAATCCAGTTTTTCTTCTCTTGTTCTTCCCCCTCACTTCCTCTTCCACCAAAGCCTCCCCAAATTTATTAATTAGATCCGAGTCCAGGGTTCTTTGAGGGGGAGCCTTGGTGTCAGCGTCCTTTAAGTCACACGTCCTGGTCCGCAAAGACCTCCAGGAAGAGCGGGGGGAAGAGTTCGTTGGGACACTCCACCTTCATATGGAGGAAGCGGCTGGCGTGGCAAGCTCCGATCATGCGCAGGTCCGTCACCTTCATCAGCAGCTTGGGCCAGAAGTGGGGAATGTTGTGCTTGCGGTAGTTGATGTAGTGCTCGAACGCCAGCAGGTAGGCCTCTTGGCACTGCTCGATCTTCTCCACACTGGTCAGCCCCGAGCGGTCTGCGGCCAGAAGGAAGAGAGGAAGAGTTAGGTTTGTTTACATCATCACCTCACGTCAAAGCGGAGAGTAACTTTCCAATAAAGCCAAATATCAAATCAAGTTTATTTATAAACCACAGTTGATCAAAGAGCTGTTCAAATTAAAAGAATTCCACACAGATATATGTAAAAAAAAATCATAAAATACTATAATATTAAATCCACTAAAAGCACCAAAGGCCATTGAAAACATGCACATTTTAAGATTTGTCTTCAAAGTGTTTGTAGAGGGGGGGATTTGATTGAGAGTGGAAGACTATTCCAAAGCTTTGGAGCAGCGACTGCAAAGGCATCACTCACCAGCCTCCATCATGAGACAGTTATAGATGGTGTTCGGAGAATCTTAGAGGTCGTGAGTTGGAGTAAAGGCAGAGAACTTCAGCCCATGTATGGCTTTAAAAACAAGAACCTTAAAATCAATCCTGTATTTGACAGGTAGCACTGGTGTGATGTTGTTTCTTTTGTCTGGCACCAGTGAGGAGTCTCGCTGCAGCGTTCTGCACCAGCTGCAGGACAAAGATGATTGGCCGACACCCAGGTACTGAGAGTTACATTAGTCCAGCCTTGAGGAGATTAATGCAGTGGATACAGTCTTCAAGTCATTGTGAGACAGGATGGACTTTTAGGTGCCTTTTAGAGTTGTACTGATACCAATATCAGAAATGCCTCTGATAGTGCCTAAAATGTGGCATCGGGCATCAGCGAGTACAGCCTATGACCAGTCCGATACCACGTAATGCCTCACATCATTCACATACGCACACTACACAACTTTTCTGCCCGTTCTGAAAGTCACTATGTCACATTACACGATTGTGGAGTCATAAAATCGTGCCGTGACTTGGCCGACAGACATGACACACTACACAATGGTCCACACCAATTATCCCCAGTCGTCTCTCACGACGGGTGTGATGTCATCACGTTATTCTTCTCCTACCTTTATTACTTTTACTATTATTCCAGTCACTGTGTCTGCTCATGTGCCAGCTGAAGTGTTGTTGTAGTAACGTGAAAGCGCCAGCAGACGGCAGGAGCTCCATTTGAAGTGCCGTACGCAAACATAAAAGTCACTGAATCCTCCACAGGAAGTTCCTACAAATGTTTCACAATAAAAGCCTATTTAGAAATGAAGGGATTCTCTCAGCCGAGGTTATAAGGGGCTTTTAATTTGAAACAAGTTCAGGAAGTGTTGAGTTTGAAATGACGGTGTGACAATTCATATCCCATCCATTTTTATTTTACTCGCTGGTATCGGATCGGTACTCGGTATTGGCAGATACCTAGGTTCAGGGATTGGAATCGGTATCGGGATTTGTTTGACGAATTTGAGAGACTCCTGGCATGGGTGTGAACGTATGATGCGAGTGGTCAGAAGTGGCTGGGGATGCTGTCTGTGGTGTTTTAATCTTTGCTTAGTTAAGGAGGGATGTGACACAGGTTAGACCCAGCGCTGGTGCTGGGGGCATTGCGTGGCTGAATTTGAGCCACTAAAGCTGCTGACAAAAAGTCCGTCTCCTGAGCTGCCGTACAGCTGCTGTCACAGGCTGAGTGGTTCTCACCATGATGAGGAAAAATTATCCTGATGTGTAAAAGTGTTGATAGGCATAAAACTCCCTGTTCTGACAGCAGGTTTGACTTCAGTGCAAAGAAAAGATCAGTTGGTTGTTCAGGGTTTCACACACACATTCATTTACTTGTTGCGTCCCGCCATGATGACAACATTTGCCACCAGGGTTTATTTTTGGAGCTGGACCGATGGTGGAATATTTATCTACTGTTTGTTATTGGTTGCACGACACTTTTGGAGCACAGAGCGTAATCTGGGCACAGATGGAGCATCAGAACGCCAGGTGCAGTGACAGTGAAAGTAAAACTGCTCCTCAACCATCGATCTGATCAGCTCTGATTTGGATCGACTGATCAATTATCCACCGTGCGACCCAAAACTACACAAACTGCAGCTGTGACACAAAGGGACACGCCCCCTCTGTTGTCAGCTGCTGTCACAGAGGCTCTGATCCAACAGGAAACACTGTTGTTTACGTGTGAAAGTAAAAAGTGAAGCAGTTAAATGATCTGAGCTCAGAAGCAGTGACGCCTTATTTCATTCTGTATCTGCCAGGATGTTTTATTCTGAGCTCAGGAAACTCTGCCTACTGTAAAGAGCCTCTGAAAAACAAAACACTAAAACTTGAGTCACGATAAATAAATGTTATAAATGTTGCTGACGACACCAGAAAAAACAGGAACTTGTTAGTTTAACATTGAGTAGTCGACACGTGCGTCATGATGACATCGTTTATCACTCACCTGAGCTCATGAGCAGCACGACCTGCATCAGCGCCACCTCCGAGTCATCCAAGTTGAACTGAGCCAGGCTCTTGCCCAAATCAAAGATGGCGTCCGACACCACTCCCAACCCGCCGTTCTTCAGCTGCTCGCGTTTCACAGCCATCTCGCCGTTGAGCGTCAGCGTCTCGCTGTCCGGGTCGTAGCGTACGGCGGCGCGCAGCGACATGATCTCCATGCAGCAGCCTTTCAGCAAGATGATCTGGTCTTCACATGGCAGCTGGACAACAACACGTCAGGAGACAAAGGAATCACAGGAAGTGACGTCAGCAGAATTTCAATCAACTTGAAAACTCATCAACTTCTAACTGGTGAAATAGGCAAATGTTGCATGAATCAGCAGAGGTGAAGAAGAATCTAGTTTAACGTACAGTAAGATGAGGTACAGCGTGGTCGCTCTTCTCTCTACATGAATGATTTTGCGTTTTCTATTCATAACAAATCCCCAGCTGCACGTTACATAACCAGGAAGCCCCTACAATATACATGATGGCTGCACTCAATAAGGTGGAACCACGGGAGAGAACACACACACACACTCTCACACACACACTCGCACACACACGTCGTCCCTGTGGAGAGCATATCAGTGAGCGGTGAGTCATCACATCATCCAGAGAGGGAGAGGTGGGAGGATGAGGAAGGCTTCATTATTATTCGCTGTAATAAGAGCTGACGAGGAGCCTGAAGAACGCTGCAGAGGGAGGAAGTGCCCCGTCAACGGATTCTTTCAGGTTAACAAGCTCGTTAGCTGGTGGCTTACAGCGTTCATGAGACGAGTCTGGAGCGAACGAGTAGAAGCTTTTCCTCCTGAGGCTGCAGATATACTCTTTGACCATGCATTCACATAGCGACAGATTCACACACACTGAACGTACCTCCGAGAACATGGGCAACTTCTTGGCAAAGTCAACGACACGCGTGATGGCGGGGGTCATGATCTTGGTGAACTCGCTGAAGGCTTCCAGGTCCACTTTGTCCCCGTCAGACGTGGACACCATCGGGCCCTGGCCGATATCATCCGACTGGAAACAAGACATCACGGGGTTAACAGAATCGTTCGTTGTTAAAATGTCAACAATACGGTTTAACAAATGAAGCATGAGCTGCGGCTGAAAGCTCAGACAGCCTGTGAGTTTAGATTCTCTTCACAGTTTTTACAGTTTTTAAATGGCGACCTGAGGAACAGGAGAAAACTCTGAGAGCTTCACAGACTCACATGGAAGCAATTTAAATAGCTCTGCTCTGTTAAAGACAGTACGAGGAGTTAATTAGCGGGCGGATTCTTGCCTGTGTCTAACAGGGTAATGTAAAGATAATTAGATGAACTATGTTGCAGCACAATGTGGAAACACAGAGTCAGTTCAGAAGGCTGTAGCACTGGGAACATGCTGCATGAATACTAATGTGAATGCAGGTATGGAACAATATCCTGTTTTGAATTTAAGAGCTTTGACAGACAGGAAACAGCTTCAGGCGATGGAGAGTCGTTGTATCACTGGAGGGAAACTCAGGGGTCACCGGCAGGATGTTATGATGATTGACGAGAAACTGAGGAAATATAAAACAATCTGTGACATCTATAAAATCATGTGCTGACATTAAACAGTGACGCAGTGTTTATAAGATAACAGACGGGACTGTACGACTCCGTTCTGTCTGCTGTCAGTGAGAGCTTTAAAAACTGCAGATGGTGGATTCACTACGGGTCTCACTACGGTCTGAACCCAGCTGACGGTCCCTGTCAGTGGGTGAACAATCTATTGCTTGGTGAATTCTGACAGGAAGAGCCGACATCGAAGGATCAAAAAGCGACGACGCTATGAACGCTCGGCCACCACAAGCCAGTTAACCCTGTGGTAGCTCTTCGGACACCTCCTGCTTAAAACCCAAAAAGTCAGAAGGATTGTGACACCTTGTTTTCACCATCTGTATTCAGACTGAAAATCAAGATCAACCGAGCTAACCTCTGTCAGAAGTGTTCGGGCACGTCCAACTAATAGATGGCCCACCTTTTTTGTGCAGCTATCCGAACGCTTTGAGTTGAAAATCTCTGAACTTCTCAGAAAGACGCCGGTGATGTCACTGCCGCTTCTTTCACTAGGCTGCTGTCGACTGTCACAGCAAACACAGAAAGAGCAGATCGGCTGGCGAACGCTAGATGTTGCTGCTGAGTGTTGTACTTTTATTAGCGTTCGCTTTGTAAGCTTGATGTTGACTGTGTAGTCAACCTTCTGCTAATGTAGCTTTATGTTAGCGTCCTAGCTAACGTCAGTGTCAAGGTATTGTTGTCAGAAGTCCTTTTTAAACAGGAGCTGTGCAAATTTGCAGGAAAGCCCAATCAGTGTTTTTTCAGCATTGGCAGTATAAAAACAAAATCAGGGAGTGCAGCAAAATGCCGCCTACCTACTTTTGTTTATACAGAATGTGCCTTTTTCGGGGCAATGGGGGGCGTGAGCAAGTAACAAAACGTGTAGCTCAGCGTGTGACGTAAACAGTGACGTGGGAGGGAAGCCGCGGCTGGTCAGTCCTTCGGCGATTCTCTCATAAGTTGGCCCGTCCTTCACTGTCCCCGTCATCTGACGGTTAATGGCCTCTTCGTTTGTGAGGACAAGGAGGGCGCACAATTCCTTGTCTCCCCAGTTGCTCATCTTTACAGTGTCTGTCAGGTTTGTGTTTCCCTCTTGCTACTAGCTGCTCGCTAATTCCTGCTATCAGCTGTTTCCTGTTTATCCACCGCCAGTGGCTCGCACTTGCAGCGTCATCAACAGCTCCTCCCACAAGTCATCAACAGCCCCTCCCGTTACGGAAGGCCGCCTTGGTCTGTTTAAACTAAAAGGGTTCCTCCAATATGTCTACCCTACGAGGCGGAAAATTGGGCACCTCGGATCAACTCGCCAATCCGGCTCTGTGTGTCTAAACGCTGGCAGCTTGCCGGCAAAACGGCCCAACATGCCACCGCTTTTCTGCCGACGCAAAATGCCCCTAACTTCTTAATGTTTAACAAAGGCTGAGGTGAGGTCTTCAGTGATGTATTAACCATTCAGCATGTCATCATGCTTTCATTAAATTAGCACTCTTGCTGAACGTGCGTCCTGCTGGCCATTGTGCAGGCCTTCGAAAATAAACTGGATGACCTTTGTGCCGCTTCAGTTTCCAACAGGATCCTTTAATTCACTGACACTTGGCTAAAGTCTGGACACAACATTCAATTTGTCAGTCTGACAGAGCAGAGGACTCTGGGAGAGAAGGAGAGGAGGTGTGTGCTTTACGGTGAATGAGGACTGGTGTGAGATTCAGAGTTTGAGCTGCTGTCCTGTTCCTGCTGGACAGTTCAATCACTCCACAACCAGAAACCACTGATTACCAGAACCATCTGGAAACATGGACGATTGTAAAGCAGCAGTCAAAGATGTAAGAAGACGGACAAAAGAACTAAATCACAGCTGAAGAACCACATTTCACTGGTGTTGTACCTTGTATAACCTAATGTGACGAATAAAAGATTGATTGATTAACACTCATTGATCACGATCCGAGCTGACGCTGTGTGACGCCACATCGAGCTGTAATAGAGCTGATATCGTGTGGTGTGAACCCGACATTAGACACAGAAACAATGGAAAATGGAGTCCAGGTTGAAAAATACAGAACCTTCCCTGTTAGTGTTTTGTCCGATGATGCAAACTCCAGATTTTGATTTCAACAGATCATACGCCAGTGAAGTTGATGTGCCAACAGACAGTATCAGCGCTATGATTGTCTTCGCCTGCTGCGTTATTCGCTCCCCAAAACAGAATCTGTTCTTTTCTCTTTGGCGTTCTCACCTTAGTCTCGCTGCCCCCCTCCCCAGACCTTCAGAAACCGTATTTGACTGTAAAAACCATCTTTGACTTTATGGAATGGTTGCCTGGTAACTGTCACCTGACCTTTGTCTCAAGGTAGCCATCTGTGGTGGAGCCACATGCATCTGCACGTGGCGACGACGCACTCAGGAGAGAGTTTGTGATGAAAAGAGACTGTCAGAAACGCTTTCCTTTGAAAATGAAAAGACGAGGCTTCCTTTCATGTGTCGGGTATTTGATTTGTGAAGTGGAAACATACCAAGGACCAAACATTTTTGGATTAATGAGTCACATAAAAGAAGGAATTAACTAGTGTGTGCATACTGCCAGTAATTAATAAAAATCAGACTGACAGATTCAACAAGTGTGATGAAGGTTTACACGGTGTAACTCTATAGAGCAGCTCGTTTAGATCCCATTAATTAAAATATGACATAGTTCAGTTTTTGTCTCAGTTTCGGTTTCACTTTAATGAATCAGGAGATGAACCTGATGTGTATCTTTACATCTCAGTGCTTAGTTTTTACTGTGTAAGTGTAGGGACACAATTATCATCATGTTTATATAACAACGCAACAAGTTACATTTTAAAAATCAGCCTCGATCATTTACACCTCCCCTTACAGACATTCCTTTACTGTGTTGGCCACAACCTGAGCTCTGTTTTCTCAGCTTACAGTTTGGTATTTTGCAACATTTAAATGATGCTCAATCAGCCATTACCAGCTCGTTTGCAGCGAACCCTGGAGGTACAGACAGCTGTCACTGAATGACTTCAATACCGACCACGGCGTAAAACTACGATATTTTTCAGTTAAGTTCTGCAGCTCTCGGGAGCATCTTTGTCTATGATTTCTAAAAGACTTTATGGAGATTTATTCTTGACAGATGTAAGATATAAGATATGTTCTGAAAGTGCATGCCACAGAGTCAAAACATATCATGTCTGTATGTTCAGATTTGAGTTACGACTGCTAAAAGTTTGTGAATTTTGACATTAATTGTAGAGAGGGTCGGTGCTTTTCCTTATTTTATGACATATAATTTCACAGTGTCTGATGTTTCTATTAAAAGTGGCCAAAGTTTTAAATAATGAGGTAAACATGGAGGAGGCTTCAGACTCTTCTGAATACTCTGTTACAATGAGACAAGCTGACGTCAGCTCGGGACAGATTCATTTATAGGGTCATCTGCTCCAGGCACGCCACGGCAAGTTACATACACTGCTACATGTAGCGGCATGCTAACGTCAGGGAAACATGTAATCATGGTTGCTGATTTCAGATCATATTCCTGCTGTCTGCTTGTTTTTAGAAACTGCTATTGGTGATTTTTCACGGTTAAAAAGTGCAGCTATAGAGCTCGTAAGTCACACCCCTTCCGGTAGAACCCCATCGGACCTCTAGGCTCTGAAAATATGAATGGGAGTCGATGGAGAGAGAAAATGATTATTTTCTGGTCCCAGTCATTAAATGCCTTGGATTACACAAATGTTTTGTGTGGGTCTAAATAAAATTTGACAGTTTATTGTATGATTCTTCAGTTAAAGGCTGTGGAAACAACGTAATGAGAAAGACTACATGTCGCCTATGTGACGTCACGTCATCACACTTTCCCTCCACTTCTCAACTCACAGTGCTGCTGCTACGTCTTCTGCCATGATCTACGGAGCCATCAGATCAAGATGCCGGTGTGTTTTGTACCCGAGTGTCACCATTCCAACAAGAACGGCTGTTCTTTCTTCCGATTTTCTTTCGAAGCGGTGAAGTGTACCAGAGACACAGCCATGTTCCGAGTGCGAGTGGTGACGTATATCATATGCGTCAAGAGCAGCGAAGAGCTGTACACAAGCGCTCTCACACAAAACCTAACAGTATCAAACTTCTTCCCGCTAAACTGTAGCCTTCTGTGCACGAAAAAATATATTAAAAATTCACAAGCAACATATGTGAAATTCATGGCACAATTCAAACTGGACCAGAAAATAATTTTCATCCAGCCATTGAAATACATTATGAGAAACTGATTTTTAAGGTCCCATGTACCGGAAACGGAAACACGCAACTTACGAGCTCTATAGACCCTTTTAGGGCCGTGAGTGACCTGACATGGTGCGTTGGTAAATTCAGTTTGACGCTCTACACTAAAATGAGAGCCCTGTTGGTGGAAGAAACGCAGCGTTATATTTCTACATGAATGAACCAATGGTTAAGTTAATCACACATTCACTCCGCTCGGCGCTCTGCTGCTCCGTCTCCACAGACAGAGTGTCCATAGTGCGCTGCTCTGGATAACAGAGACAATAGACAGCAATAATAGACAGCGCTTAAACTTACCAGGAACTTGCGTTTCTGTTTCCAGCTGGAGCCCTGGGCGTTGGTGTGCCGGTGGGCCTCGGTTGCCATCCTGATCAGCTCCCACTCTGCCGTGGTTGGCTCTGGCCTCGTCTGCAGTGTCCGCACCATCTCCTCCCTCTTCCTCTTCTGCCGATTCTCCTCGATCAGACGCCGCTTGGCCACGCGCTTCGAGTCGTCCAACACCACTGACAGGAGAGAGAACATTAATGCAGTGAGGCTGAATGACACTGCGAGGCTGCGTCTGGATGACTCATCCAGTGAGTGTCATCACTCTGCTTTGTGCTCATTAACATCGATAAGAAACGTCACATCTACTGCAGGAGCACAGACAGGTTGGTCCTGATGGGACGACTGAGGAACACGTTAAAGGTATTTATTGATGCTTCTCATTCAGAGAGCAGTAAAGGTCATGTGACATTATGAAGACATTGAAATAAATGAGGACATGTGGCTGTATGCCCGGGAAACACAGTCCACCTCCACTAACTCGGACCTGGAGAGATTTGCTTTTTAATCAGGCCCAAACAGAGGTCTAAACAAACTGGTACCTGACTCTGAGGCCGGAGGAAATGTGGAGAAATCATGGTCGACCATGCCAGTATTTTTGGTCTTGTCCTTCTGTTTCGACTTTCTTCTTTCATATTAAAATTACACCAGTATTATTGTGATAAAAAACAAGAACAGATTCATTTCTACTTGATATTCAACGTTCTCAGAACTGAAGCCGGATGACTTTTAAAACATGCAGTTAAAAACACCAAGAGGAAGTCAGAATGAAACGTCAGACGTAACACTGAATGCTGAAATGATATTTAGGGAGCTATTAGTTGAGTTGGTGGAGCTGCTGCAGCAAAATCAAACCCAACTCTCTGTAGACGGAAGATTTAACAGGCTGACCAGGATGCAAATAAGATAGACTGTGTGTGTGTGTGTGTGTGTGTGTGTTTATTACATTTGTCTGAAGTTATGTCTCTGGTTATTTCCTCCTATTAGCAGCGATTCACTGAAACAAACCACAGCACTGTAATGTAAAGGCTTTAACGTCACGGCCCGCTGCTGCGAATCAAACTCCACTAACATCATCTGAGTGCAGAGCGTCTTTGGACGTGAAGTCCAGATGTTCTTAATTTGTGTTTCATCAAAATGTCACGAGGAACGGAATCATTTCCTTTATTCACAGGAACAGATGTACGGCTAAATTAATATCATTCCCAACATGAAATCAGATTATATGTGTGGGTGTTACTCCTGTGCTTAATGAGGCAGGGCAGTGTTAGAATGTGTGTGTGTTCACATCACACATATTACAGATAAATGTGACGCACACTGTTTATTATGAGCACCTTGATGTCAAGCTTCAGTTCTATGTGAGCGTTCAGCTGCACGCGTACAGATTTCTACAAGTTATACTCTTCATCTGAAATTAGTCACAGGACTGAGAGCGTTAACAGAGGACGACAAGGTCAAGCTTTTGGCTTTTGCTGACAAAAAATATGACGGAAAATTTTTGTCATCAACCTTTGTGACGAAAACAAGATGAAATCTATGTTTCATTTTTGTTGACGAGATGTGATGAAAAAGGCAGCATGGTGGTAAAGTGGTTAGCATTGATTTCTGGTTCGAAACCCCGGGCTGGGGGAGCTGTCCTGTGCAGAGTTTGCAGGTTCTCCCCGTGTCAGCGTGGGTTTCCTCCAGGTGCTCTGACATGTTCTCCCCGTGTCAGCGTGGGTTACCTCCAGGTGCTCTGACATGTTCTCCCTGTGTCAGCGTGGGTTTCCTCCAGGTGCTCTGACATGTTCTCCCCGTGTCAGCGTGGGTTTCCTCCAGGTGCTCTGACATGTTCTCCCCGTGTCAGCGTGGGTTTCCTCCAGGTGCTCTGACATGTTCTCCCCGTGTCAGCGTGGGTTTCCTCCAGGTGCTCTGACATGTTCTCCCCGTGTCAGCGTGGGTTACCTCCAGGTGCTCAGACATGTTCTCCCCATGTCAGCGTGGGTTTCCTCCAGGTGCTCAGACATGTTCTCCCCATGTCAGCGTGGGTTTCCTCCAGGTGCTCTGACACATTCTCCACCCCCCCGCGACCCCCAAGAGGATAAGCTTTAACAGGAAATGACTGAATGATGAGTCATGTTAGCGGTGGATTATCGGACATTGAATTCCTGCTGGGCGGCGCCATGGACACATGAATCAAGTGGCACGAATGAAATGAGTATGTTTTCTTGTCATACACTTATTCACACAAGTTGAAAAATCTGAACTTTAGCAACCAATTTGTGTCGTGATGGTCAATTAGCATTGAGATCCTCCGGAGATGTATGACGCCAAGGATGTACTGGCAGAAGGGTCAACACAAAATATTCTTGCATTCAAAATCTGTGTGTTTCAGCTGGTGCACAGTGACAGTCGCAGCCTTAACCTCACTGATCTCTGTATAAACACTCGTAGTAATAATAACACGTGATAACTCACAGTCCATGGCCATGCCCACTGAGATGCACTTCTTGAAGCGGCACAGCTGGCACTGGTTGCGCGTGATCTTGTCGATGATGCAGCAGCCTTCATATTTACAGGAGTACGCTGGATGGAGGTTCTTCTGGATCGTTCTGCGGAAGAAACCCTGAAGAAGGCAAAATGAAAACAGAGAGAGAAGAAGAAAAAGTGGTGAAATAAAGGAATGAAAACACACAAACACCACAGAGACAGAAACCAGTGATGGAGAGAAATACGCAGCTCCATCACCACAAAATAAAATCCACCAATTAAATGTTCTTGTGTTTTGATTAGCATAAACGAGTGCTTTCAGCGGCTCGCATCACATGGCGGGCTGATGATTGCATGGCAGGATGCTGCTTGCCAAGAGCGGCTCAGTAATGAAATGATAGCGTGACTGAGCGTCTCTTAGTAATCGCTTTTGTACCCGACAGTCGGGGAGCAGTTTGATTAGACTCACACTCCTGAAGTGGCTCACAGAGACACCTGAATTTGAGAAGCATCAGGAGGCAGGTGAGAAATCAGTCTGATACATATCAGCACCATGAGAAGGAAAAACTTCATCTAGATCTATATGATAACAATAAGTGTCCAGTACGTCCCCTGAAGTTAATTTCTCCTTTCAGCTCCACAGCAAGATTTCAGTGCCTCATTTCCCCTGTGAGAACGGCAAGACTCAAGAATAGATGAAGGCATTTCTGGAGGGCGTAGACAGGCGGCTCTACGGGACGCCAATCATTGGATAATAAACCCCTGCTCAGCGGGAACCCACACTGCCATCGAGAAGCTCCCTCAAGTCATTACTGTAGAGTGAAATTTCTAAATAAGGAAAATCTGTTTACTTCAGGCCTGATTTCCTCGATGATGATCAACAACACAGACAACAAAGCTCACAGTCAGTTCAAGAGCTGCAACCATTAATTGATTAGTTATTAACTATAAAATTAATCGGCAACTAGAGAAAAAAGTAAGAATACTCTGATTCCAGTTTCTCAGGCTGCTGTCAGCCCTAGAGTGGTCTCCTCTGGTCTGAATCAGGGACTCATGTTGTTCCAAAGTTGTATAATTGCCTAGAGTTGGTTCGTGTTCTCACGGCAGCATTTACAAGAGGACCAGATCAAATGCCTTGTGTGAGAAAGCTGCTCTTGATTGGTCAGAATTTCCATGTGGGAAAAATCCAGGAAGTAAAGCAAACGTCGACGAAGAGTACACACACGTTGAGAAAGAGCTGAAGGCAAAGCAATGTGTTTGTGAAGTACTGAGCCTCTGACTGGATAAATGAGACCTGTGTTATACTGCTTAAGTTGTTGTTGATGTTTTGATGTTGTTAAAGTGGTCCCAGTTTACGTCCCAGTTTATGTCCCAGTTTTTGGATTCCTTGTTCGAGAAAAACAAAGTGGACGTCAACAAAGTGCCAAATTTGAAGAAACTGTTTTTGAGATAATATATTCATGAGAATTCAACAGATGCAAATCATGGTGATCTTATCCTGTGACCATCAAATTCTAATCAGTTCATTCTTGAGTCCACGTGGATGTTTGTGTCAAACTTAAGGAAACTCCCTAACAGTGTTCTTGAGATATTGCATTCATTAGAATAAGACAGATGCAAGATCACCTTGACCTTAACCTTTGAACAACAAGTTCTAATCAGTTTATCACCGAGTCCAAGTGGACGTTTGTGCCAAATTTAAAGAAATTCCCTTTAAGTGCTCTTGAGATATCCTATTCACAAGAATGCAACAGATGATGTCATGGTGACCTTGACCTGTAACAAACAAAATCTTATCAGTTTATTCTTCAGTTCAAATGAACGTTTTTTTAAAGAAATTTCCTCAAGGTGTTTTTAAGATATCACCTTCATGGGAATGAGACAGGTGTATGGTCACAGTGACCTTGACCTTTGATCACTAAACTGTAATCCATTCATCCCTCAGATGAATTGGATATTTGTGCCAAATTTAAAAATTCCCTCAAGGTCTTCTTAAGATATTGCGTTCACAAGAATGAGACAGATCAGGTTACAGTGACCTTATACCACTAAAATTGTATCAGTTCATTGGTGCGTCCAGGTGGACGTTTGTGCCAAATTCAAAGAAATGTCCTCAGTGTATTCTTGAGATATCGTGTTCATGAGAATGAGACAGGCACGAAGTCACAGTGACCTTAACCTGTAACCATCAAATTCTAATCAGTTAATTGTTGAGTCTAAGTGGACGTTTGTGCCAAATGCGAGGAAACTCCCTCAGGGTATTTTTGAGATGGTGCGCTCATGAGAATATGACAGGCGCAAAGTCACAGTGACCTTGACCTGTGACCATAAAATTCTGACCAATTCATTGTTTAGTCCTACATGGACGTTTGTGCCAAATTTTAAGAAATCTCTAGTGGTGTACGTGAGATATTGCATTCATGAGAATAAGACAGATGTGAGATAACCTTGACCTTAACCTTTGAACACCAAAATCTAATCAGTTCATCGACTTGAATCGGAGGTTTGTGGCAAATTTGAAGAAATTCCTTTGAGGTGTTTGTGAGCTATCGCATTAACGAGAATGGGATGGACAATCTGAAAACTTGCCGGTGCAGAGGCATAAAAAGCACTTTGATCTTTAAGGTCAGAGGCGAACATAACGTCACTGTAGGGTTGACAGGAAGTAAACACACGTTCAGAGATATTTTAGTAGTTTGTGCCGTACCTTGCAACCCTCGCAGGTGATGCAGCGGTAGTGGTAGCCGGTCGCCTTGTCCCCACACACCACGCACGGCTCGTCTTTCTCCAGGTAGCTGGGGATGTACCCTGGAACAGAGACACTAAGAGCTATAGGAGAGGAGGAGGAGGATGAAGAGGAAGACAGGGTGGAATGAGAGAAGGGTGAACCATGAGTGCGAGCCAGCAAGCCGGGGAGGGACGTCGGATTGGCGGCCGGTGAGGACGAGGAGGTCAGGGGAAGGGTTGAGTGATGAAGAGAGGAAGGACAGTGGTGAGGAGGAGGAAGAGGAGGGGGAGGAGGGGGAGGAGGGGGCCGAGTGTTATCACAGGGGCCTCAGAGACGCTCCTGAGCTGAGGGCCCCGGGAGACTGTGATACAGGACAAGACATGTATGAGACTGACAGTCTTTTCTGCAGACACTGAGCTGATGCCATGACAGCCTCTGAGGGTCACACTCACATTCCCACAATCCATCATGGTATTCATGTAGACGTCTTAATTCAGCTCGACGCTAATGTACTCCTGAGAAGTACACGTGCTCTGAAACGTAGAGATGTTGGAGCTTTCGCCCTTCAGTCCTTTGACCTCACAGTATTAATGTGACGCTCTGAGCTGTCATGTTGTCATGTTGCTGCACAAACACCGTCAGTCGTCTGGGCATGCTCAGACGGGACTCTTCTCAAACACACGGCTCATCTCAGAGTTTTTGGAAAGCTCGCACACATGCATTCAAACACTTAGAGCCGTTCATTGAAAAGCCTGAGCACCCCTTCACCTCTACACACACCTTGACACCCACATGACCCTGTGAACCAATCACAGCTGCCTGCAGACTCACAAACATACGAACACTCTGAAGCTTCTGGAGAGCGCTCAGAGTTCTCAGTGAAGGGTTTACTGAGTGTCTCTTCTCATATTACTGAAGCAACAATGAAAGTAGAGCCACAGTGTAGAGCTGGACGCCTGAAAGAACTCCTTTTTTTTTTTTTTTGTTAGCTTAGTTTATTTCTTTTTTATTTTGCCTATTTTTTTTGTCTTCTTTTAGCCTATTTTTAACCTTATTTTTTGGCTTTTTTTTCTGGTTTTAGCATTTTTTTTTCATTTTTTGCCCTTTTTTATTTTTAAACTCCTTAAGCCTACTTTTTTTTCTCTTTTAGTCAGTCTATTTTTAGCCTATTTCTTTTTTTAAGGCTATTTCTAAGCCTATTTTTAGCCCATTTTTTAAGCATTTTTTTTAGCTTTTTTTTGCCGTTTTTACGCCTATTTTGGGCCTATTTTTTCTTTCTTAAGCTTATTTTTTCTTTTTTTAACCTATTCTGAAGCTTATTTTTTGGCGTATTTTTTTCTTTTCAGACCATTTTTTTTTCTCAGCCTTCTTTTCTCATTTTTGCTGATGTCTTGTCTTTTTTAATCCTATTCCAATTTTTAGCCCATTTCTTTTTTTTGCTCTGCTCTTGACCCTATTTTTTCTCTTTTTAATTTATTAAACTGATTGGTGTATTTCTTTTTTTACTGATCCTTATTTATCATATTGCCCTGTGTTTTTTTCCTGATGCTTCCTGTTTGTGTTTTCCCTCTGCTGCTGTAATGTTGCAAACATCCCCGCTGTGGGACAAATAAAAGATTGTCTTACATTTACATTAAATGGAAATCTTCAATTAAAAAATAACTTTTTAGATTTTAGTTTTTTAAATTGATTATATTGTTTGAATAACTGCAGCATGAATTTACCACGCCACATTAAGAAATACTTATAGAGGTGTACTGTATTTCACTTTAATTAAGTCATTTTGAATCTTCCATAACTTTGTTGTACATCCTTCTTTAGAAGCACACTTTCTTCCTGTCTCAAGTATTTATTTCATTATAATTCCAGCCTTGTTTCTAACAGTCGGTGTTGTTGCTAATTGTCTGTGTTCACGTCTCCTGGAGATATTCAGGATTTTACATTTAATCACTTGTTTCATGTTTGATGAAGCATGCAGGACTTGTTGGTCATGTGTGATGGGTACAAACAGGTGCTAAATGAAACTGTGAATCACATTCAGTCTGGTCCCAAATTTCGGTCGCTCCGTATTTGGTCGTGAACCTTCAGAGTCCGTCTACAAACAGATCTCTTCAGCTCAGGTTTCAGTCCCCTCGCTGAGCTAATCTGTGTCCAACAAAGCCTCTGAAGGAAACTCATATAAATAAAATGCTGAGGAGGAGATTATCAGAGTAATGACACCCAGGGGAGCAACACTGAACATCAGCCAAATCCTCCAGCTCATCAAAAGACTGAGCATCTCACAGAGACCCTGAATTGTTCACTTGGTTGTTTGGTGGTGACGAAAACACAAAGAGGAGACGGCGGACGTGATCAATCCTTACCAGACACGCTCTTCCCCGAACACTGGCCGTTCTTACTCTTTCTCTTCGGCACATCTGGCCACCTGGAGGGGGGGCGGGAGGAAGACGAGGGGCGAGGGAGAAGAAAGAAACATTACTCTTCATCATCCATTAAAGTGTTCAGGCTACCAGAACACTGCGCTCTGAGAACGCAGGGTTACTCGTGGTCCCTAAAGTCTCCAAAAGTAGATCAGGAGCCAGAGCCTTCAGCTATCAGGCTCCTCTCCTGTGGAATCATCTTCCTGTTACGGTCCGGGAGGCAGACACCGTCTCCACATTTAAGACTAGACTTAAGACTTTCCTCTTTGATAAAGCTTATAGTTAGGGCTGGCTCAGGCTTGCCCTGTACCAGCCCCTAGTTAGGCTGACTTAGGCCTAGTCTGCCGGAGGACCCCCTATTCTCTCTCTCTCTCTCTCTCTCTCTCTCTCTCACAATTTCAAAAACTGTTGTTCCCATCAGTCACTTACATGTAGACACAACAACATGGGACAAAAAGGGTCGAGGTTGAAAACACTGATCTCACCCTTTAAGCTCAGCAGCTGCCTGCTGTATGTGACCGCTCAGGGACAAACTTGGTCCAAAGTTCGACTTTTCTCCTCTAAAAAAACCAACAACAAAGACGGAGTGACCTTGTGTCAGATGGCTCGTGCACTCCCTGACAGCCTGTAGCTAAAGTCTGCTCAGCTGAAGATAAGTCGGCCCTGCACAGCTGCACGGGAGACGGGACGTCTGAGTCAAATTTCTCTTTCCATTATTTCCTCTTTCTCAGCTCCCGTCTTTGCAATTTCCTTCTGCTACTTATTTATTCACTTTCAGTCATAAAACCAGATTAAGAAATATGTAGAGGCGAGGACATGTTGTTCTTTAACTGTCTGTGTGGAACACTTAGAAATCAATGAATGAATCATACCTACAGCACCATGTCCACACATGCTCTGCACATACACACACACACACACACACACACACACTCCAGGATATAGATAATTCCTTCACTCATTTCTTCCTGACTTCCTTTCTCTTTCTCTAATTCTCCATCCTTCCTCTCGTCCCGCTCTCACAGGATGGAGTCTGTATTTGCTCCCGGCAGCAGACTTGGATTACCGTCCTCTCTCCCTCTCTTCTTTCTGTCCATCCCCACGTTACGCTGTTCACACCCCCCTCACATTCCCATCTCCCTCCTCTCCTCCATAAATCTCTCATGTTGCCTACTCCTCATTTCTTTCTGTCCAGTCCTTCAACTTTCCTCTTCCCTCTGAAACATCCCTCTCTCCTCTCTCCTCTCTCTCTCTCTATCCTCTCCTCCCTAAACTTCCATCAGCAGTATTAGGTAACAGCGCTCTCCTCCCTTCTTCCCCTCCCTCCCTCTGTTCCTCTCTCTGGCTGTCAAATCCACTTTCTTCTTCCAACCCAACCAAAAAAAGAAAAATCTTCTAACGTCTCTGTTCTCGCTGCTCTTCACGGTCGAGCAGGCTTATTTATTTTATTGCTGTGCACATGGTCCGGCGGTAACACGGTGGGAAACTGTCTGCTCTGCTCTCTGATCACCGTCAGACGCCCACTTTATCATTTCTGCCTTTATTAATTCAATAAATGTCACTTTATGGAGCTGGTGACAGAGCTGACAGTGTATCCACAACACCAGATAATTACTCAAATTTACTGGACGGTGGCTGACTGGTAAAAAATCTGAGGTTTGGTGTCGGTTTATGCAGAAACACCACGTGAAAGAATTTATTTCAGAGTCAGAGCAGACACAGACCTTCTCTCAAGCTACACTAGAAAATGTTTACAGGTTTTTTACGAACAACATGATGACATGAAAGACAGAAACCGTAGCTTTCTGCTGCAAGAAGAATAAATGCTCTCGCTATTATAGGTTTTAATTTAGAGCACTATATACAGGATTACGCTGACAATGATCTCCTGCGGCCATTACAGGGAAATCTGTGGGGAAATTCCAGTGTAATTCCAGCAAAACACTAAATTTCAACCACACGAAGGTAAAGTAATATAAGATCATGACATGACAGAGGCTTTAGCTTTCTGCTGCAACAACAATGGATCTTAAAGCTGTTACGGTTCTTAATTTAGATGAACTTACACAAACAATCTCAAGTGGCCACTGTGGGAAGATACCGATGTAATTATGGTAAATACCTCGTTTGCACGGCACATAAGGTCAGGTTATGTAAGGTCATGATGTAACGACGGGGAAGACAGAAGCCTTGGCCTCTTAGTGCAAAAGGAATGAATGTTCTCGCTAGTATCGTTTTTATTTTACATCAATATATACAGGATTATGCAACAAGAAGCTGTTGTCTTTATACTGACGGGATATTTCTCGACCTCAACACTGAGTCTCTCCTCATCTGTTCTTCATCACACACGACACACAGCAACAGCTACAGAGTTCTCTTTATACGTCCATGGTGAGCAGAGGAGTCGAGCTGCCACAGGAGCAGAGAAGAAGAGCTGTTACAGAAGCTGGTGTGTACAAGCAGAGAGCGAGTGGGGGGAAAATGCATCTCACTGTGGGGGCGGCGAGGCTGGAAATAGGATGAGGCGTGAAGTGCTGTGGGGCGGCGCGTCCAGGAGCGCTGGTGCATGTTTAGCTATCATGAGACGCTATCATGAGTAAAAAAGACACCAGAGGCAGGATGAAAACGAAAATTTAGATGTTTCAATAAATAGGAAAATAAATAAGTTAAAAATAAATAAATAAGTCACGAAGCTGAAGAATGTGCCAGCTAAATAAAAACAGATACACAAAAATAAAAAATACACAATAATCATAAATACAAAATCTGAAAAATAAAATGGAAAAACAATAAATAATAATAATATTAGTAGAATAAAATAAAATAAAGGTAGGTCTCGACAGAGGCAAAACAGCGCAGCGAAGGAAAACAAAACTGTGTATCGATGGAAAAAATCACCGATATCGATAACCCTAAAAATACATAATATCGGCCCCAATAATCGTCCAGGCCGATATCTGTAAGGGGGATAAATTAACTGAGAGTTAAAAAATATCTTTGGAATAATGGATAAATCAGTCGTGATATATATGAAGAACAAAGTGACGACAGGTGCAGCCTGAGGTGAACTGTCCCTTTAAGACTGCACGGTTTACAAAATCTCTAACATGCATTAACACCTGACATCAGCTCCCACACACCGAAAACAAGCACACAAAATAAAAAAAGAAAAAAACACAGATTTCCATCAGCTGATTGTCAGACCTCAGATCCTCCTCCTCCTCTGACACCACGCTCATGTTCACATATCTCACCAGAATGAACATCATGTACTTCACTGAGGGAGTTTCCGCACTAATTACTGAAGCAAGAAGTTCTTTAAGAGGCACGCTTTATTCCAGACATGTTATTAGATTAAACTGCTTTAATGCTATCATCGCTGGAAAATCTAATTTTATCTTGACTCTTCTGAACTCAGTGTACAAACAGACACAGAGGCCAGCCTTTCTTAACTCCACACACACACGTTTCCTACTTTATCTGCTGTAAACATGCAGCACACACCCACATGCAAGAGATATTCACTCTCTCTCACACACACACACACACACACACACACACACACACACACACACACACACACCGACCTGTTGATGCAGTACGGCTGTAAAATATGCATGTTGTTAAATTTGCAGGAGTCTGAGAAGACGAGAGCCCAGCAGCTGTTCCTGCTGCAGGTGGAGTCAGTTCAACTTCCAATCTCTGTTTGCTCAGAGCTCCACTCCTGGTGAGGTCTGAGTAACAGCAGCTTTCGTTGATCTGTAAACCACGAAGAGGAAGTCCTTAAATCCCTGACCACCGCCACGCTGAACCGACCTCCCAGTGACCCGAGCACTCAAGTCCATCCCAGTGCAGTACAGTGGAGCGGAGCCTCGAGCTGCTGCTGTCAGCTGGGCGATCTGAGGCAACAGTGGCTCTGCCTCAGACTGACTGCTGGGAGGAAGGGCTACTCTGTTTATCTCCCTCCCTCCCTCCTCGCCCAGCCTCCCCTGCTCACCCCGTCTGCCTGTGTGTGTGTGTGTGTGTGTGTGTGTGTGTGGTTTATCCCCTGATGACACGCACGTTGTCATCACAATCCACCTTTTCATGTCTACCACCTCTCTCCTCTTTATCACTTCCTGCCTTTGCTCTTCTGTATTTCTGTTACCTCTGTTCTAACTTTATCCCTCTCTGTTCTCCTCCCTCTCTGTTTCTGTCACCTGTCATTATTTTTATCTCAGGTCTGTCACCTTCTCGTCTTTACTCCTCCTGTTTTCCTCTCCTCATTTCATCTCCAGGAGAAAAAGACCCCCAAAACAACGCAGCATCTCTACATCCAAACTCACTTAAGCTTTAATGCTAACTCGATTACGTAACATCAGGCTGGTGCAGCCTCCCCAGTGCAGCTGAGTGGAGTCTTATGAGGACACGGGGATGCTTGGTATCCCGTCAGTCGATTCAGAGCACACAATGATCTCTTTTTCCTCCGTATATGATCATCAGCATTTACAGTGAAGGCCACAGCTACAGCTGGACTCAGAACTGTGTTGCTGAATGAACAGGAGCAGGCACGCCGTGCAGCGCCGTACGCACCCTGAGATCCTCTGAATGATCAAATCAAAGTGTTCCAGTAATAGCCAGAGGCTGAAAATAAAGAAGCAGGTCAGTCACAAAGGCTGGGTGTAAACATCAAAGGGGCTCAGACTTACCTAAACCGTAACGGCTCAGAGGGTGAATTTAGCATCGTGTACATTTCCACATCAACAGAGTCAAGTCATACTCGCCACTGTAGCCCGCTCTCATTCCCCAACTCATTAAATACCGCCGCTTTGCCACTGATTTTGGCGTCAGACAACAAAGTTTTATAACGTCGCCTGGCAGCGAATCACACTGTCAGTTTATACAACTCAGTCTCACTCCTAAGTCGTCGAAAGGTCAGCGACCAGGCGGCGGTTGTGTGCATGTACCTTTCTGTAATGTTGTTGGTGAGATACAAAGGTGTCAGAATCAATGCAGTGGAACC